ATCTACTGCCACGGTTTGTGCAGTGGATGCGGTTTTAGGGGTTGACCACGAGCTTCGGGGAAGCTCAAACGCAGGGACTTAAATCCCTGAGCCCCTTCCTCTCTCTCCTCCCTTTCAATGCACAGTGTGACATCCTATGTGTGTACGTACATTGAACTTCTTTCGCACCATACATAGGCCAACCGTTCTAATCGGAGGTGCCGGGGGAAGGACAAAAAATTTACACAAAAATCAGTTCCAAATAAATGAGTTTGTTAATGTCGATGATGTAAACGTGCATATCACCAGTAGCTTCCTAATATCGGAAGGAAGAGCGTTCCAGACGGCCGCAGAAGCGCATCTGAAAGCGCGCGATGATGCGGTGACCACCGCCTTTGTTCGATGGCTGAGCCAAAAGCGGCTGCTGCTGCTGCTGCTGCGAGGATGAGCGAAGTCACGTGATGATGGTTTACGCTCCTTGACGAGATCAGCGACGTATTGTGGTCCGTTTGTGACAAGCACTTTGTGTGTGACGAGGGCGACCTTGACGAGTGCTCTGGTGCGAGCCCCCCTGGGAGCCCTCAATCCCCAAGCCCCTACACCCCTCGCTCCCCCCTTTCCACTGTATACAATCCTAGCGGTGATGACAGAAGAGACGTTAACGAGAGATACAGATGTCGTGAGATAAGACTAATACATGTAGCCAAAAATGAGGCGTCGCTGGGGTGAAATGAGAAGAGAGATGCAGGGAAGATAGCGGTGAGAAAGATCGACTGAATTATGTTGGGCGTTCGTCAGTTTGTTCTGTTAAATGGATTTGGATTTGGAGCTGATGTTTGGTGCCCCCTCCCCTCCCCCTTGTGGTCGACTTCTACTTCCTCCTCCTCCTCGTACGGCTGGGGCAGCGGCTGTAGATTGATGTCAAGGTTCGCGATCCATTCAACGGCTTTCATGCGAGGAGGCAGAGTGGGTGGGGTCGCTATGCCCCCACGAATGAATCTCTCAGGGGCAGGAGTTGGGTAGAATGGGGCCATCGTCTGAGTTGCGTGGTGGCCACAATCACAATTTGGGGCTGCTCCTCGCGGTCTGTTCGTGGGGCAAGTGGCTGAAAAAATTTAAACTAAACTATTTTATTTTTATTTTTACCAGGTAAGGTCCCCTGAGCTATATAGTTATTTTATCAGAAGCGACCTGGCTATCACAAATGATAGCTCAACGAAGTGACTCATTGTCTTGTGGACATTTATAGCAGCAGCCAAACACTCTAAACGCGTGGTGATGTTGTTTGTAAATGTGGAGGGGAAAACTGGGAAAAATCCACACGACCACGGGGAGAGCGAGACACAAACTCCAAATATACAGCAGGCGTCAGGGTCGGGACCGAACCCACGACTTCCTGCATACGAGGCGAGGTGGTTAACATCTAGCCACCGTGGCCTGACCCTCAAGTGGTCGAGGGTTATCCCTAGTTTTTTTCCCCCGTGCAAGGTTGAACCCCGGGACTTCACCGCTCGGGCTGAGTTACCACCCAGGTTGACATTGGTGAGACGCTTGCAGTCAACCAGGAGGGAGACGACAACCTTCCCGTGGTCCTCCTGATAAAATAAACTTTTACCGGTCGTAAACTCCGCAAGCTGACGCTGTCGAGTAGGCAACCGAACCCCCGGGCCTCGGGCTTCCAAGTCGAAGTAGTAAATACCCACTGGGAAATTGATTAACTCAGGCACAACAAAGCCGAGAAATAGAACCAGCAAGCGACAATATATCCCCCCACCGCCCCATACCCCTGTGCTGTGTGGTTGTTTTTGAAATCATGAATCCAGGGCCCCTGTGAAGCTGCTTGGGTCCCTAAGCGTTTGCTGTGGTTTGCTGATGACCTGAACCAGTTCACAGTCCAGGGCACACTTAGGCAGAGTGGGGTCACCGTCCAGGGTCTTCTGGTGGAGACCGACCGCCGTGAACCCATTGAATGGTCGTAAAAACAGCCAATTTCGGAATCGGTGACAGTTCAATATATTATTGTTTTACGTTGACCTTAAAGCCATTAACAAACCAAATGTCCGCTTGTAAACTAAAGCTCCGGGGGGGGGGGAGGGGGGGGGCAAATTGGGAGATATTTTATGGTCACTCAAAATTGCCTCCTGACCTTTATTACTCTCACCAGTAAATGACAGCAAATTCAATTCGTGCAATGAAGCATGAGACGCATTAAGACGAACGGCACTCGAATTGGGCCTTTTTTATTTTATTTTTTACTATCATATTTGTTACCAATTTATTCACAATTTAGTAATATTTTTTCGTGATTTTTTAAAACAATTTTTTAAATAATTTTTCGTTGTCATGTTTTTTTTTACCATTGCGTAAAAGCCAACAGCACACGAGGTGGGGGGATGTGAACCCCGTTGTTGTTGTCATTGTTGTTGTCGCTCTGGCGCGTGGCAGTCTCTGGCAGCAAGAGTTCTAAAGTTGGAGTTGAGAACGCTGCGGCCTGCCTTCCCGTGCGCGTGGCTAACCGCGTCGAACACGAGGGGACTGAGCAACGCGGGGTTGTCAAACAGCGGAGTGGTTATACAGCGGAGTTATCACACACACAGCGGAGTTGTCACACAGCGGAGTTGTCATACAGCGGAGTTGTCACACACACAGCAGAGTTGTTACACAGCGGAGTTGTTACACAGCAGAGTTATCACACAGTGGAGTTGTCACACAGCGGAGTTGTCACACACACAGCAGAGTTGTCACACAGCAGAGTTATCACACAGTGGAGTTGTCACACAGCGGAGTTGTCACACAGCGGAGTTGTCACACAGCGGAGTTGTCACACAGCGGAGTTGTCACACAGTGGAGTTGTCACACACAGCAGAGTTGTTACACACAGCAGAGTTGTCACACAGCGGAGTTGTCACACAGCGGAGTTGTCACACAGTGGAGTTGTCACACAGCGGAGTTGTCACACAGCGGAGTTGTCACACAGCGGAGTTGTCACACACACAGCAGAGTTGTCACACAGCGGAGTTGTCACACAGCGGAGTTGTCACACACACAGCGGAGTTGTCACACACAGCGGAGTTGTCACACAGCGGAGTTGTCACACACAGTGGAGTTGTCACACAGTGGAGTTGTCACACAGCGGAGTTGTCGCACAGCGGAGTTGTCACACAGCGGAGTTGTTACACAGTGGAGTTGTCACACAGTGGAGTTGTCACACAGCGGAGTTGTCACACAGTGGAGTTGTCACACAGCGGAGTTGTTACACAGCGGAGTTGTCACACACAGCGGAGTTGTCACACAGCGGAGTTGTTACACACAGCGGAGTTGTCACACAGCGGAGTTGTCACACAGCGGAGTTGTCACACAGCGGAGTTGTCACACAGCGGAGTTGTCACACAGTGGAGTTGTCACACAGCGGAGTTGTCACACACAGCGGAGTTGTTACACAGCGGAGTTGTCACACACAGTGGAGTTGTCACACAGCGGAGTTGTCACACAGCGGAGTTGTCACACAGCGGAGTTGTCACACACAGTGGAGTTGTCACACACAGTGGAGTTGTCACACAGCGGAGTTGTCACACAGCGGAGTTGTCACACAGCGGAGTTGTCACACAGCGGAGTTGTCACACAGCGGAGTTGTCACACAGCGGAGTTGTCACACAGTGGAGTTGTCACACACAGTGGAGTTGTCACACACAGTGGAGTTGTCACACACAGCGGAGTTGTCACACAGCGGAGTTGTCACACAGCGGAGTTGTCACACAGCGGAGTTGTCACACAGCGGAGTTGTCACACAGCGGAGTTGTTACACAGTGGAGTTGTTACACACCGCGGCCTCTCTATTAACCACGGCTGTGAAATGCATCTTGACCGAAGGCCAACACGTGGTTCCACGCACATGCGGTTGGCTACGCACGGTGCAAACGAAGTTCAACATACACACATGGTTTCCGGTGTACGGCGAGACTGCCCTACATCTATGGGACCTTTCTTTGTTTGGCTGGCATCAAAGTATGAAAAATATAAGAGAATGTTTTGTCCTTTCTGACAATAAAACAAGAGGTGTTAAAAAGTTCAAAGACCAAATAGAAAAACCTTTTGCGGTGAATCGAGTCTGTATTAACCACACGTACTTGTGGCAAAACAACGTGCTCGGATAATAGTGTACGCATTGTCTTTGGAACTGATTGTCCTCCACCAGTGATAGCTGCCTTCTCTATGACCTCGTCCCAGACCACCGGTGTTAGTCCAGAGAGCGCCAAAAGGCGAACAGCACAAAGACAATGCAAGTATCAGAAACCTTACAGCTCGGGTTCAGGACATATATCTGCGGGACATGTTTTGCCATTATCAAAGTATGAAAAAATCAGAATAGGTTTTAGCCTTTCTGCAAAATAGATACACTTTTGCAAGGAATCAAGTCTGCATTTAACCACACAGACTTGATTAATTGCAAGAGGTATCTATGATATATTGATACCACGTATGTGAGTGTGTGTGTGTGTTTTCTGCATGTTTTTTTTCCCCCCGTGTGATCATGTCACACACCCAACACACACTGTGCATTCACACGCATTGCCGTGGGCACCTTGAGAGTCTAGAGGGCGAATCATCGAGGTTGGCGTGACAGTGTCAGGGACGAGCGTTGGGCTGGGAATTCTGGGGACTGGAGATTTGCGTCGCGGTGAAATTGAAAAATGAGGAGTGTACACACAAGAGATGGAGAGCGACTCAGCATCCATAAGAACAATACCTCGTATAGAATTAGTTCAACAAAGAGGGGGGAGGGGGGTGACCATTTCGGACCCAGGAACGCAATCCTATTTTTCCCACGAGGTCTATTATTTGTCCAACGCGGTTTTTCCCAACAACGGCATTTTCCAGGAACTTAACCCCCACATTCGGCGGCGGCGGGGGAAGGGGAGAGTCTGCCTGTATGTGTATATTACGCGTTCCCTGTAACACGTCGCTCGTATATTTCTGCTACGTCCTAGTACAACATTCCCTCCCTTCCGTTGTCCGCGCAGGGGCGACCCGGACAAATGCGACATTTGGGGGAACACTCCCCTGCACCTGGCCGGGGCCAACGGCCACCTCGACTGCCTCACCTTCCTCATCTCCTTCGGGGCCAACGTCTGGTGCCTGGACAACGACTACCACACCCCGCTGGAGATGGCCGCCATGAAGGGCCACATGGAGTGCGTGCGCTACCTCGACTCGATCGCGGCGAAGCAGACGAGCCTCAACCCCAAGATGGTCTCCAAGCTGAAGGAGCGTGCCTTCAAGGAGGCCGAGAAGAGGATCAAGGAGTGCGCCAAGCTGCAGCGCAAGCACCACGAGCGCATGGAGCGCAAGCACCGCAAGGAGGCGCCCGCCGACTCGACGGACGCCACCAGCTTCTCCAGCTTCTCGGGCAGCTCGGCGAGCCGCAGGGCGAGCCAAGCGGGCACCGTCTCGTCGCTGCCGTTCCCCGCGACCGCAGGGCCCAACGCCACGGCCAAGGGCAAGACCAGGATGCAGAAGAAGGTGGAGAAGAAGAAGCAGCTGGACGGGCAGTTCAAGATCTACGCGGACGGCCGCAAGAGCGTGCGCTCGCTCTCGGGCCTGCAGCTGGGCAACGAGGTGATGATCGTCAAGCAGGGCACCTACCCGGCGCCGCTGCAGCCCAAGGACGCGCCGCGCCGGCACGTGCGGGACATGTTCCGCGCGGACAGCGCGTCGGACGTGTGCACGGAGTCGGGCGTCAACTCGGAGGCGAGCAACGACTCGGGCCACGACTCGCTGTTCAACCGGCCCGGCCTGGGCACCATGGTCTTCCGCAGGAACTACGTGACGGGCGGCCTCTTCGACATCGGCACCGAACGCGACGGGGAGTCGCTCCGCCGCCGGAGCTCCGGCGGCCCCGGCGGCGGCGTCGAGCCCAAGGGGAAGCCGGCGCGCTCGGCGAGCGCCAACGAGAGCATCGGCAGCGCCGGGAGCCTGCGCGAGAGGAGCACGGAGGAGCCGCCGTGGGACGACGAGGACGTGGCGCTGGACGACCCGGACACCACGGAAACGACGCCGCTCGAGAGCTTCCTCGCCTCGCTGCACATGAGCGAGTTCGCGTCCCTGTTCAGGCAGGAGCACATCGACCTGGAGGCGCTCACCCTGTGCTCGGACGAGGAGCTCAAGAGCATCAACCTGCCGCTCGGTCCCCGCAAGAAGATCCTGGAGGGCGTGGAGAGGAGGAAAGCCGCCCTGCTGGGGCCCGCCAAAGTTGAAGACACCGCGCTGTGAGCGGAGGCTTGGTTGGCAACTGCGAGCGGTCCTAAGAGCTTCGTAGCTCATCGGATTTTTTTGCGGATTTAACCGATTTTGATTCTTCGGGGAGGCTGCCACGGTGGCGTTAATGGTCACACGGGACTGGCAATCTCGTGGGCAGCCGCTTGGCCACACACACGCTCACACGCTCACACGGCGTCGCCCAGGTGTGACGCGTCGACAGGAGCAACCTCACTTTGCCTTGACAGCACGCAAGGGGCGTCACGGTGGCTAGGAGATGTTAACTACCTCGCCTGATATGCAGGAGGTCATCGGTTCGATTCCGACCCTTATGCCTGCTGTATATTTGGAGTTAGCGTGTCCTGAGATTTTTCTCTCCACATGTAGAATCAATGTGCATTTAGGGTATTCAGCTGATTTAAATTTACACGTGACGATAAGCCGCTTCGTTAATTTATCATTTGTAATGGCCAGGTCGCTTCTGAAAAAGTTTATTTTTAGTAAGCGTTAAAACATACGTGGTGGCATTTGCATCGTCCTGCTGTGTCTCTCCTCGCAGATAGCGAGGGGCCAACTGCCAACCGCGGGTTTTTTTTTATCTCGCAAGAGGCTCGATCCCATGCGTGGGCGAGCGTGAGTAGGCACGCGTGCAATGCAGCAAGGTGGAGGACAGAGGGACAGAGACAGGGGGCCTTGGAACGTGCAGGCCTCAGCCAAGCACCGGCTGGTCGCCGCCCCAGCTGCCCTCCCCATCCACGGAACACGTCAGGGCGTCGACTGCATACCGGCCCTCTGTCCAGAGCAGGGGGCGGCGACACAGAATAACAAGGGGAGACATTCGTCTCGAATTCGTAAAGCGAACAAAACAACTCAATATTTAAAGAGCCGCAATGCAATGTGGATGAACACGAGACGGTGGCGCTCCTTCATTAACGGCGTCACGGAGAAGCCCTCTTGAAGAGCCGCGTGCGGCTGCGGAGCCGCAGGCTGCTGACCCCCTGGTCCAGACGGAGAAGCGAGTCAGGATCAATCAGAATCTTTATTTAGACTGCAGCAGCAGCAGCAGCAGGAGGAATCCGATGAGCTACGAAGCTCTTTTATCACCGATATCCTCCAGTAGTTGGACGGGTGGTCAGCAGCCATATACTGAAGCATGCAGGGTCAGAAAACGCGACGATGATATTCAGTGGTAGGCAGCAAACAACAAAAACGGGAATCTTCAATAGCTAAACATAACAGGCATCCCCAGCATGCACCGCATGTCCAGATGACGTCGACGCAGTTGCAAGCGCTCCGCACGCAGCCTTGAGAAGGGTTGGGCAGCGCAAAGTCCCTCGGGCGCAAATGGCAGGCGGCAGGAGGCAAGCGGCTCAGCGTTACATTTTATTTAGAGAGGCGTAGTAGCGCAGTCGTTTTTAAAGACATCGTTACTCACCGCAGAGAACCGTAGCGACACGACCGCCGCCACTCTATGGATGCTGGCGCCAACCTGTGCCACACGCCCTCCCCCCAGCGTGGCCTTGTGGGGATCCTCGGTACCCATAAAGTTATTTCGGTGTAGTTTTTCATCCCGTTTTCTTTTTGATGACGTACACGGCCGTCCCGATGACATACACGCACGTCATCGGGGCGGAATCGGAAGAAAAACGGATGACGTACACGTACGTGCACGTACGTCATCGGGACGGGAAAGGGTTGAACAACACGACGCATCACGAGGCTGTGCGCGGGTGACGCGAGAGAAAAGGCGACGTCTTCTTGCCATGCAAAGTGTGCTGAGAGTCCTGCGGACACCTTTTGCGAAGCTTCAACTTGCACGATAATTATCGTGTGTGAGGAAACGCTGGCTTTGTGATGGTCCTAAAGATCGTGATGGACAACAACCCTCGAAGACTTGGGAGAAAAAAACAACCTCAAACATAGGCCGTTGTCAATTACGGTGCGCACGTAAAAAAATATGTTGTCGTTTTCTCAAGGGCTCCTTGATTGTCTGTGCTCGGCCTTCTGATAAAATACGCTTCCAACCGCGGGCAGTTATTCACATTTACAACGAGGAACGTCTCGTAAAGCAAACCCTGGCAGCCACGCTGTTCGGGCTCCGTATTTTAATGCAAAGTAAAAAGTTAATTTCGGGATTTACGACCAGAGCTTGCCCGCTTATTTTAGGCTCTGCCATGCCCTTGCGAGATGCAGCGAAGGTGAGAGGACAAACGTGCATTTGCTGTCAAGCAGGAACGTCGAAATGAGGGAGGACGAAATTAAACGAAACTGTTTATTTGTATTTTACTGAGCTATATAGCTCTTAGTTCAGAAGCGACCTGGCCAAACAGTGATAGCTCAACGGAATGGCTTTTCACGTGGAAATTTATAGTAGCAGCCAAATACTATGAACGCACGTTGATTCTAAGTGGAGAGGGAAACACTGGAGGGCTGTGGAGAAAAATCCACGCGACCACGGGTAGAGGGACATGCAAACTACAAATTTACAGGCATCAGGATCGGAATCGAACCCACGACCTCCTCCATACCAGGGGAGGTCGTTAACATCTCGCTAGGGTCTGTATGAGATGACTTTTCCTCTCACCGTGGTTCGTCGTAAACCAATGTCACCTGCAGGAAGTATTATTTGCGCAGGAATCAACTAAGGGAAGCCAGACAACTCGAGCGGCAATGTGCGTTACTAAACATCATGGCCGTAGGTGACGTCATTTCAAGTTTAAATATTTTTTTACTGAGTTTTAATTGATGTGGGCGTTAAACCTAAAAGCCCCACGGCATTTTTCCGCACCAGAAACAAGCACTCAAGTGCATGAGCAAGGGAATTTTTCTGCATTGAAAACTCATTCTTTGAGATCTGCTTTACCGTGTTTAGTTTGCTGTCCTTCCCCACCGCACCTCCGATTAGCACGGTTGGTGGTGTGAAAGACGTTCAACGTTACGTCCATTACGGAGCGTTTCATCGTTGCAGAAGGGCCCCAACTGCGGACACCAGGAATGTGTCATCCTCGCGTTCCAAACACACACTTTGCCAAATAGCGCGCGGCGGTGCTAAGGGCTGTGCGTAGCCAGCGCTGCGCGATAGCCCCCCGGGGCAACGCTCATCTCGAGGGTTGCCACCCGTCCTGGTTGGCCCAGGAACGTCGTCTTCTTCTTTTCATAGCCATCCTAGGAATGTGTAACAATACCAATTGATGTGCACCAGTGTTCGTCACTCATTTTCAGAGGGGGGTGGGGAGGGAGGGATTGTCGCCGATAAGACAGCAGCAGTGTGAGAGGGGGGCCGCCACGCATTTGAAACCACTGGGTGTTTGAGAGCAGCACGACGATGATGACGATGGGGGGGGGGGGGGGTGTCACTCTTTGTGTCCTGTCGGGGGCCTGCACGTCAGGGGCCGCACTGAAGGCCACCAGGGACCGCCAGTGGCCCCGCGGTGGCCTCCCAGTGAAGAACGACGCCGAGTTTCACGAACTTCTCCCCTCTCGTCGGTTAGCACGGTTGGCTACGTAAGGCGCGGAAGAAGTTCAACGTACATGCACAGTGAGATGTTCGTCTTCCCACGAAACGTCCCCAATTCTGTATCGCAGTGGTGGCAACCCGTAGTGAAACGGTGCAATATCCTCATGTTGTACTGTACTCAGGGTCGTCCATAGCAGGGGGGTGGGGGCAGGCCCCGTGGCAAATCCCCCCCATGTGCCCCCCCCCCGAACCCTTCTAACTAAACCGGAAATATTACATCTGATGACACCGTGACAACGGAGTGCGTGGGGGGCCCCCCTAAAGTGCGGGGTCCAGGGCAGTCGCCCAGACTCGCCGTGTACCCTAGCGGTAGCTTGCCTGCACTTCGAGCGTGCTCAATCTCTACGACAATTCAATCGATCGAGCACCACCCGAGGCCGCATTCCAGGAGGTGACCGCATCAACGAGAGGCAGTGTCATCGTTGATTCTATTATTTGCAGGATGCAATGAACGCGCATTGCGTCTCACTGAGGCATTGACCGTGTTGTACGTAAACCGCCCCACTCGGCACAAACCACTTCTGGATTTAAGAACTCCCCTTTATATTTTGTACTAAACATATCACCCACCACCCCAATGGCGTGTACTTAATGTTCAAAGCAGAGAGAAAGAAAAAAACAATGAATATTTTATATTTTTATTATTCAGTATCCTATATATGGTGTATTTTTGTGTATCGTGTGCATATATATGTGAATGTGTAAATTACATAGCACTAAATTAACAAAAAGCCAAAACACGGAGCGTTCTTTTGTCGTTAGATGTGTACGCATTATTCTAAGTATTCAAATTATCGTGACGCGTGCAGAAGTTCAAAGCATTACACGAGCACGGGTGACCTGGTTACAGGTGGGGTGACCTGGTGACAGGTGGGGTGACCTGGTGACACGTGGGGTGACCTGGTGACACGTGGGGTGACCTGGTGACACGTGGGGTGACCTGGTGACACGTGGGGTGACCTGGTGACACGTAGGGTGACCTGGTGACAGGTGGGGTGACCTGGTGACACGTGGGGTGGCCTGGTGACACGTGGGTGACCTGGTGACAGGTGGGGTGACCTGGTGACACGTGGGGTGAGCTGGTGGCAGGTGGGGTGACCTGGTGACACGTGGGGTGACCTGGTGACACGTGGGGTGACCTGGTGACACGTGGGGTGGCCTGGTGACAGGTGGGGTGACCTGGTGACACGTGGGGTGGCCTGGTGACACGTGGGGTGACCTGGTGACGTGGGGTGACCTGGTGACACGTGGAGTGACCTGGTGACACGTGGGTGACCTGGTGACACGTGGGGTGACCTGGTGACACGTGGGGTGGCCTGGTGACACGTGGGGTGACCTGGTGACACGTGGGGTGACCTGGTGACACGTGGGGTGACCTGGTGACAGGTGGGTGACCTGGTGACACGTGGGGTGACCTGGTGACACGTGGGTGACCTGGTGACACGTGGGATGACCTGGTGACATGTGGGTGACCTGGTGACACGTGGGGTGACCTGGTGACACGTGGGGTGACCTGATGACACGAGGAGTGACGACCTCGTCCATACCAGGCGAGGGAGATAAGATCTCTCCACTGCGGTGCCCCTAAAAGAGTCATAGCAATGCGAAGGTGACCGGGTGGTTCAGAGGTCAGAGGAGTGAACTGTCACTGCTGAGATCCGCAGGACGAATCCAGGCAGCTGCCCGTGGTTGAACACAGTTCTCAAATGTAACGAGTCGTCTCGGACCGGTCACCATTTGCATACACGTAAAAAAAATTCCAATCCAATTAAACTAAATGGTTTCCATATAATGAGGGTAAATTCCAACTCTGAGAATGAAACACATGGAGCAGGGCAAGTGGAAGATTTGATAAGAGGTCACTTTGAAAGTATATCGGAAGTAGTTCTGTGATACCCGCTTCCGCGGACCGTTCTCTAACACGGGATGATTCACTGCTCTGCGAGATTCCCAAGGGGATCCGAATCGTGGAAAGGACACCGGCAATTGGCGCACCTCCATCGTCACAGGTGTGGTGCTCCAGTTAGAATGGGAATTTAGCTTTTGCAGTGCAGCAGTACGTGCTCTAGGACATTAAAATACAAAGACCCCCCCTCCGTATTATATCCTTCACACACTGTTGGGGCAAGTGCTGTTAGCACAAACCGGTAGTGGGGAGCGGTAGTGTAGTGGTTAGCGCGCTACGCTGTGAATCCGGCGACCCGAATTCGATTCCCGCTCACGGCCAACACCAGTGATGATTATTTGAACCGGTTCTGGGCCTCCCCTAGGTCTATTCGGCCTCAAATCAGTACCTGGTGTGTAAAAATCTCCACTGGGGAGACAAAGGCGGTCGGGCGTGGTGCTGGCCACCCACCCCTCGTGTGCCGTGCCGGCTTTCATAGGTGTACGCTAAAAGCACTGGCTCCAACAGTCTAGTACATCACACACACACACATCTATTGATACAAGTAATTGATGGTAACGGATGATGCACAAAATGCCATGTTAGTTCTTGTAGTGGAAGTTGTCCGAGTAAACCCCTGCTAACCCCCTTCTTCGGTAGATGTGTTGTACATATTGTTAATGTTTTATCTGTATATTTTGAGTTTATTTTTCTTCTTTTTTTAATTCCATGGGGTAGTTCACTTTAAATATGTTGTCGACAAGCAGAGACAATTACTGACTGTGTCTGTAAGCAAAGTATTGTACTGCACTGGAGGAAATAAAATGTAATCTCACGTAAAGCGCTTTGGCTCCTGCGCCCTCATTTTGCTCCGCGTTGACGTGGCGTGTTCACCCCAAGTAGGGCCCACGGCCTTCGGCCTCCACTCGCGAACGTTCGTGCACAATCCCACTGCTGGATGGAGGCCTCGACCGAGTCGTCACCATCCCTCAGGGCCTCGCGGCACGTGACCACGTCGCCGTCTCCATGGCGACGATCCTCCTTGGACCACGCTCCCTCCTTTGGCTGCCAGTCCATTGTCAGGCTTACCCAGCGGTCATCACGAGCAATGCTTCCTGCTCGAGCCCACCACTTAGTGTTCACCATGAATGTGATGTCTGGAATTCGCACTTGTCGTATAATCCACGTGTCTCTCTCACTGCCTCTCGGTGCAAGTTCATGCAAGCAGGAAAAGTAAGAGGTTTGTGAAATCTACGGGAACCTCTTTTCCGGTATGAAGACGATGAGAAAATAAGAGAATTTACCCTTATCCCGGCAATAATGGAGGAGGGGTGAAGATGTCCAAACACCGAATAGACACGCCTATTGCATGGCATTAAGTCCGCATCAACTCCACATGCTTGCCAAAAGGCGATTATCATTTTGGCGTTCTCTCATCGAAGGTCATAGAGAAAGCTGTCTTTGGTGTAGGCCACTCAGATTCAAAGAAATGTATACATTATAAGACATTATTATCAAACACGTGTTTGCATATTTTACCACAAGCATGATGTGTGGTTAACGCAGACTTGATGACGCCTTACAGTGGGTGTGTTTGAACATCTTAACACCTGCTGTGTTTCATATTCTTGGTTCTTTCGGTAAAGTCACGTTGAAGGGAAGCAATGAAATAATAAAATATATAAAACAATAAAAATTATCACGACGTTTCGACTGCAACACAAGCAGTCATCATCAGGTGTGAAAACCAACGGCAGGAACATTTGAAAGAAGTGGCGGTTTGTTTTCACACCTAATGATGACTACTTGTGTTGCAGTCGAAACGTCGTGAGAATTTTATTGTTTTATATATTTTTTATTATTTTATTAGTTCATAGTTCGTAGTTATAGTTCATAGTCCATTTATTTGGTATAGCCCTGTGAGTTATTCGGCTCTTGAATCGGGTGCAACCGCAACAAACAAAAAAAACATGAATAAGAAAACATCTTAAAGTGATTATGTGACTGTGCAAACAGAAAATACAGGAAAAAAAAACATCAGAAATATTCCTGAAATAGCACCGTACACCAACGCTGTGTGCAAAAAATTCCAGTGGGATGCAAGTCAAAATAACAACAACAACAACCACAAGACAACTAAGATTAAGGACATCAGTCTAACTCCGTACTACAATAAACAAAAACATGGCCAAAACAAACAAAAAACTTTTCGAAATCACCAAAATAAAAGCCATAAATCCAATGTAACAGTGATCATAGGGACTGTGACCGAATTTTTAACAATAAACTACATAAATAAATTATAACAACAAAATCTAGAGCCATATTTTAGGCCACTGAATAGCAGTGGCAGCTAGGGTTGTACAACTCCTCTAGAGCAGTTTTGAGTGTTTCCCTTCTACGTGACTTTACCGAAAGAACCAAGAATATGAATCACTGCAGTCACGAAAGCTTTAAATAAAAATTTTACCCGCTGTGTTATTGCCGGAAAGGGCAAAGCCTTTATTGTTCAGGTCTGTCAAAGTCCTTGCTCAGAACAACAACAACAAACAACAACAACAAACAACAACAACAACAACCAACAACAAACAACAACAACAAACAACAACAACGAGCGCCGTTCGCCACTGCGTGGTGGTGACGTCACCCCGGCGGCTGTGCCAGGCTAGGTGCACGTTGAGGCCACCACGTGAAGTGCCGAAGGCAGCAACGTCACGGAGCAGACCCAGCAGTGTGCCGTGGCGTGATTGACCGAGGCGCTCTAACAGGAGATCATTAATTTGCGATACAATGTACATTATGTTTTAGGCCCATATATGGAGTCATTTGGCGCGGATTTGCCCATATAAGGAATTTAGGAACGCGAATGGAAGTGCTTTTTTAACGATCTAAAGCTTGAAAATTGTTTGATCTATCCTCGAACGCACAGACACAGATATTCAGAATGTCGTTAAGATGATTGATCATTCATTCTGTCGCGAATTCATTCTATCCTGGTGCAGCGCGCCACGGTGATGAGATGTCAACTCGCCTCGTGTCAGAAGCGGAATGTTTAGACTGCAGGAGGAATCCGATGAGCTATAAAGCTCTTTGTTTTACAGATGTCCAGTAAGGGGCACGGGGTCAGAACGTGACAACAACAAACACAACAACACGATATGAGTACAAAGTACAGGACAGGTAAACAAATCACTTAAAAAAATATGTCCAAGTAAAAAATTAGCGTATAATCTTTATCTAACCAGGCAAGGCTCACTGAGCTATTGGCTTATTTTGTCAGAGCGAGCTATACGGGAGGTCGTGAGTTATCTCCTGACCCTGACCACGCCTGCTGCTGCCGCTGCTGATTTGTGGTCGCGTGGATCGTCTTCCGGGATCCCTCCGGTATTTTTGTTACTCCCACATTTAGAGTCCACATCGCCACGCGCGTTTGATTGTTCGGCTGCTGTTCTAATTGTCCACACGCGATGATGGTGACGAAGATGACGAAGACAAGCCACACTTCGTCGATCCATCACTGGTGATAGCCTGGTCGCGTTATAGCTCGATTGTGACTCGTCTGGCACGATACAAAATAGCTGACAAGTTGATGTTGGAGACAAGTTGATACTGGAGACAAGTTGATGCTTGGAGACAAGTTGGTGCTGGAGACAAGTTGGTGCTGGAGACAAGTTGATGTTGGAGACAAGTTGATGCTGGAGACAAGTTGATGCTTGGAGACAAGTTGATGTTGGAGACAAGTTGATGCTTGGAGATAAGTTGATGCTTGGAGACAAGTTGATGTTGGAGACAAGTTGATGTTGGAGACAAATTGATGCTTGGAGACAAGTTGACGTTGGAGACAAGTTGATGCTGGAGACAAGTTGATGCTTGGAGACAAGTTGATGTTGGAGACAAGTTGATGCTGGAGACAAGTTGATGTTGGAGACAAGTTGATGTTGGAGACAAGTTGATGCTTGGAGACAAGTTGATGCTTGGAGACAAGTTGATGTTGGAGACAAGTTGATACTTGGAGACAAGTTGATGCTGGAGACAAGTTGATGCTTGGAGACAAGTTG